CATGCACCCCAAGTGCACCCCGAGTGTGCACCTCGAACATGCACCCTGAGCATGCGCCCCAAGCATGCACCCCAAGAGCACCTCAAGCTCACAGCCTGAATTCACAGCCCGAGCGCGCACCCTGAGTGCGCACCCCGAGCCTGCACCCCGAGCGCGCACCCCGAGCCTGCACCCCAAGAGCACCTCGAGTTCACAGCCTGAGCTCACAGCCCAAGGCTGCATCTGGAGGGTGCACCCCGAGCGTGAACCCCAACTGTGCACCCCAAGAGCACCTCGAGCTCCCACCCTGAGCTCACAGCCTGAGTGTCCTGAGTGTACACCCCAAGCATGCACCCCAAACATGCATCCTGAACGTGCACCCTGAGCCTGCACCCCAAGAGCACCTCGAGCTCCCACCGTGAGCTCCCACCCCGAGCTCGTATCCTGAGCACACATCCTAAGCGTGCACCCCAAGTGTGCACCCCAAACATGCACCCTGAGCATGCACCCTGCCTGAGCGCACCCCCCAAGCGCGCACCCCGAGCGCGTGCCCGAGCTTGCACCCCAGCCCCCCTCGCCACCGATGCTCTCAAAACACCCCAACCCCCCCCCAGAGAGGGGGGTCCCTCTCCCTCGCCGGCTGCCGCGGGGGACGGTGCTGCCGGCTGGGGCGGCACAGCAAACTTCGGTGCCCCAAGTCCCCTCACCTGGGCAGCAGCGGGGCCACAGGCAGGGACCCCCACCCCAAAACACAGCGCACCCAGCATTTCTCCCCATGCCTCCTCAGCCAGAAACCCTCCCAGCTCCTCAGGGAGGGGAGAAACCTCCCAGGGCTGGGGAGCAGCAGCGGAAGAAGAGAGGGGGGATCCAAGCACCCCAAAACCCCGCAGAGCCTTGCAGCGCCGCACCGGGGCTGCCTGCTCCCCCCACGAAAGCTCGCCGGAACCCAAAACCTCTATTAGGTGCTGGGAGAAAGTAACTTCACCCCCAAACCCCCCCCGGCTGCCGCTGGCCGGGGTAAACAAAGGGGTGTCCCCAAGCAGGGGGGGACCCCACAGGGAGACCCTCGGGGTGAGAGGGGCCGGGGGGTGGCCGGCAGCAGCATCGCATGGTGCCTTACCTGGTAAGTAATAGAGAGGTGGTTTCAACCCAAACATGATTTATGTTACAGTTCCATTGCGGCCAGGAAAAAAAAA